TAGTAGTAAAGTCAGATACCGGAAAATATGAAAAATGAAAGTTGTTTAATACAGGTCATTAATCGATAACTAAACAAGGTGTAGTCGCAGAGGAATACTAGAATGAAGCGATGAAATAAATCGCTGAAGTGAAACACAATCATCATAATTTAACCACCACGATTAATTTAAGCAAATTTATTTCAAAGAATGAAAACGCCCCAATTATGTAGAAAAGCAATCCTTTAGATGGTAGTTATGTTGAAGATATCATTAATGCAACTAGAATGTGAGCATACTATATAATTTGTTTGTATCTTCCCTTTGGTCTCAAGCTATAACTTACTACAATGGATGGTAAAGCATATTATTATAATAAAAGCTTAAAAATAATTTTTACCTGAACTATGATTTTATGCATTTTGAAATTTACGACTACACTTATTGTTATTCGCTCTTATCGCAAGTAACGTTCTACCTGAATTTGCATATATATGTGAGTTTCTATAGAAGGCTACACTTTACTATGAAGCACGTCATATAGATATTTAAACTGCCTCGAGCTCAGTTTTAATAAGCAGTCAGTCACAGGACAAACTCTGTATAGACAGCAATCGGAAGCGGAGGCTGTAGGCAACAATTTGAGAACGTGCCAGAAGCACCACGTCGTAAGACTTCATAAGCATTTAGTAAGAGTGCTCTAGTCGGGAGTGCCTGACGAAGAGATACCCTGAGCCCAGAACTGATCTGCCTTTACAAATATTCAAACTTTTTTTGTCCTATATATACATATACACACAGACACGGCGGCTCCAGCTACTTCAAAAAGTTTCTTCTTCCTTTACCCCACACTACCTTTATTAAATTTCAATGATATATCAAACAAGACTGTGTGGTTGTCAAAATGCGAGGATCTACTTTTTCATATAGGATTTTTTTATTTTTATTATGTCACATACGAGACTTCATTCGTAGTATATTTCGTATAGCTCGTTAAATATTCTAGATTCCGATATTACATACATACTGTTTCATACATTTGCACAAAACTTGTATACCCCATTATCCTTTTGCAATGGGGGCAGGTTATGAAAACGCACTATAAAACAACCAAAGGAAGAGACAAATGGCAAAGGTTGAAACGAGGCGCAGCGACTCGAGTTGAACCGTGGCAAGTTCTGTTGTTTATGGAATAATAATAAACGAAGACAATTTCAATGACGCTGTGACTGCGGCGTCCCTCTCATCTGCCCCTCTTCGACCTGGCTACCTTTGTTGATATTTGTTGTAAAAGTTATGTTGTTATTGCTATTAGGGCTGTTCATATTGTTGTTATTGTGGTTGTCGTTATTGCGGACAGCAAAGGGCAGCAGCAGTTGAAAAAGAAGAAGCAGCAGCAGCAGCCGACATAAACAAAAGCCGCGCGTCACGTCACATCATTTCCTGCAGCCATTTTGTGTTTTGCCTTTGATTTTACTGTTGTTTCTGCTCTGAGTTTCTTTTCTTCTTCTTATTTGGCTCTGTTGTTGCTAAAGGTAAAGTTCTTCATGCAGGCGCTTCAAATGTTTGTTGTTTTTATTATTTTATGGCAATTAGACGTTGATTTTTAATGCTATGGGTTTTTATGTCGTTGTTGTTGATGTTAATGCTCTGCCGCAATAATGCACATAACAATAATAATAATAATGATACGCATACGCCCTGTGGTACTTTTATTTAATGATTCACTTGTGTAATTTATTCAAGGCATATGTAAACATTGTTAGTAGCATTAATACTAGGGTGAAAAATACCAAATGGTGAGAGTCATGTGGTATTCTTATATTTATATAAAGCTCTTTGTATTAGGTATTATTTTATAAAAAAAAATCTTCGCACAGCTGACTCATCAGCACAGAATCTCAGCGGAATGGCCTAAAGCAACAACTACAAATTATTTTTGAAGCAATTATTCAAGCTCAAGCTTTTATATCCAATTTAAGCACCAAGTGGTGCAAATTGTAAGTTGTCATATTTAAAGCTTTAATTTTGTAATTATATACATACAAAATTTGTGGTACCTCGTGCTTAAAGTACAAGGGTATTTGGTTCTTTATTTCATTATTTCTTATTATTTCCTCAAAGTTTTGAACCGGCGACCTCCTGCTAGCTAGTTAGACTTCTCAAATTCACTTTCGACCTAAAAGGAAGCTGCTGGAAAAATGGCTCCTTCTTAGCCCTTACCGTTTGGGCTGTGCATTGATCACCAATCAGTTAGTCATTCCAAAGGGATAAACTCTTTTGTATTTACAGATTATAATTATAAAGAACTCTATATGTTGTCGAGACAAAGAGGAAATAACTTATATCTAATGTATATTTCTATTCGCACATTTGTTTTATTAAGTTTGAGCTAAATATATAACTTAAGAATATACACTAGAGTCTGTGGTAATTCCTTTAGCTGCCCTCACATCCATAAACTTTTCTTTTTATTAATTCCGACTAAATCTTCATGTAAGGGGTGACCTCGAACTTGGGACTAGATATTTAAGAGTTTCCTAGCATTAAAAAACCACATTCAACTTGCGTTAATTCACTTTATTCAAGTAAATCAACCCACTTCTTTAAAAGTCAATTGCGCAGAATTTGAAAAGAGCTTTCAAATAAACTTATCATTGAAAATGATTTTCATTGGCGCCCCTATTTAACTAGTTTTGCCCATTTATCCTTTTCTTTTGATTTTCGCCTGATGCTTTAGCGATTTGCCTTACCCGTTCTTGGCACTTTAGCAGTCAATTCAAAAATCAATTAGAAACGGAAAATCTATTAAAGCCAGCACTTGAATGCCTTTGTTAATAAAAGTGTACAAAGGCGCTTTAGGGGCGCTAAGGGCGCTAATTGGACATCGAGTGGATTACTTAGCGAAGCTCATTTACCCATTTTGAAGCACCCAATCGGCAAGTCTCAAAAGCTGTGGACGGCCCAAGCGTAGCGTTCTATCGACCAGTACATGCGTATCTATTATCATCCGCTCGAGTGTTCTATGAGCACAATAACAATAACAACAACAAGCTGAAGAGACAGAGGTGGGACACCGGCTGAGAATGAGAGCATAAACATGAACTTGTGCCAGCTTTGCAATTTTGCTGAATAAGTGCGGCTTGTGCTGCTACTGGGCTTCATTACGCTTGATTTCTTGTGAACTGGCGCACACACTCTCCAACACACACGCACACACACACACATACAAGCCCATACTCAGATACTTGCAGTAACATTAAAGGAGCGCTTAGTTTATGCTTCGTTTGCCAGCTTGGACGGCTGACACGGCTTCGTCCTGGCGTCAAAATGACTCTTGGCTGAGAGCCGGGCATGAGCAGTCATATGAATGCTGAGGCGCGTCGTGAGCGAACAATGGAGCCCAGGAACTCCCACTAAAGGGGCCAGTGGGCGCAAAGAACGAGCTCTAAAGCTAAGGCTGCAAAGTACGTTTGACAGTCAGGCGGCAGGCACCAAGCGCCGGTCGGCAGGCAAACAGGCGAGCTGCCGGCGACAGGAAGTGGTCACAGGATGTGAATAGCTTGTCTATTGCGGGCTGCAGACGCCTGACCAGTGAACGTCTGAATGACAGACACCTTTGTAAACAGCCACAGGATACGCCCCACACACACGCACACACGCACACAAATATACACACACTAACACAGAGAAATGGCCTAGCATGAAGATCTAGAGTAAACAAGCTCCAATCGCAAAACGAACTGGTCAAGCCATATAGCCGTCCTGAATCGTAATTCTTAGCTCAACGAACCTGTTGACAAGCAGCTCGACGCTGAAAAGCGAGCAACACTTTTTACACATTCACTCGGTTTTGTGCAATTTTCGAGCACATGAAGCGTCACACGAAAGCGTCCTGCCACATGCTGGGAGCCATTTAAATGCTGTCGCTTACTGGCACCCTGCATGCCCTTCCTCCCTCTGGTTGCGCTGCAGTAACCGCAACCGCTGGGCAACCTGCAGCACTCGCTTCGGTTTGAATAATTAACCAAAAAACGACGTCTGACCACAGCAAAGTCAACGGCAAAAAAAGGCAACAAAACAATAATAAAAAACTAGACGTATTTTACTCGAGAATGCTGAACGGAAAGCTATCCTGTTTTTAACGCAAATTAAATAAAATATAAATATGTGTCTTTAATTTTAAAATCAACCTTAATCAAATTAAATAAATTAAAAAACCATATGCATATGATATAAAGAAAATGTATGAACAGAAAATTAACTATATATAATGTTAATATATATAATATCATTGGTTATACTTAATAATGGATCTAGCTAAATCGACTGGACAATCGCTAATTCATTTTATACCTTTCACTGCCTGACCAATCTTATGATACTCCTTTGCTACGTACAGGGCATAAAACCAAATGAATAAATAAATTTATGAAGCGCAACCACATGGTTTTAAGCGCAATTCAGGCCGAAATTCTTTTTTCTTTTCTTTTTGACTATTGCTCGGCCCGTTGAAAGACCAAAATTCGTTTGCATAAATCATTGGCGCAGGATTGATTATGACAAAAGAAAATACCGACAATCGATTGCAAATCCCCAGCACGTAGCTCATTTATTTATGTATTTTCTTTTCATGCCACAAAGGTACCAAAATCCAGTCAACACAATTCCCTCCATCCTCACCATACAAATGACAGCACATTAGCCGCAGCGGATGTTGGCCTTTTCATGCCTGACTGCACGCCCACTTGGCCCAGAGCAAAAAAGTAATGTATAAATATATAAGTGATATGTATGTATATGAAAGAGGAGCCCAAATGGAGCCCCAGAGAACTGACCAGCAGTCAGGACACAAATGTCAATAAATTCATATGAAGTTATCTCTTCCAGACAGCTTAATGCGCATTTTTATCGCCTAATCTAGAGTCAAATTTCTGCACAGTTGAATTTTTAGAAATCTCTCAAATGCGAATATCAAACATGAGCATCAAATAATTCATAGCCAAAAATCATACACTTACCCCAAGGTCCTGAAGTGGCCTTCTGCTTGAGTTGAGTTCAGTTTTAACAGACTGCAAAAAAGACACCAACAAATATAGTATAAGAATTAAAATGAAATAGAATTTTTTATGGTATAAAATTGAAACAGAATTATTTTGATACGAAAGAAATTTATCTTTCAGTAAATAAAAAAAAGTAAATGCCTGCCAATAAATTAAAACTAATATGAAAGTAGATGTAAATTATTCACTTTTAAATATTTGTATATTTCATTGATTGAATTTTCGGATTATTAATTTTATTTTGAAAAATATTTATTTAAGCTCCTTTTTTTCTGACTTAATAATCAGCTTGACATGTCAATTTAAATTTTTGACATCTGTCTTCAAATTTAAAGATTTAAAAAGTTTTCATGAATTTCATTAAAACTACTTTTTCCTGGTTTGCTTGCTATTAAAAATGCAATTGAATTGGGAAACTGAAATAGGATTGGGTACGAAATAGTCTTACGCACTGTAGATACATAAAATCCGAACTAGCATTAAGCAAAGCAACAATATGGAAGATATTATCTGCTGTTCTTCTTGGATAACTATGGGCCACTTGATGGGCGTGGGCCACTTGGTTGTTATGGGAACGACCCAAATAAAGTCGCATATGTTGACTGCTGACAGCATTTGATGAACCTAATAAACTCTGAGCGAAGTGCTACTCAGCCCAGCTCAGCTGCCAGCCAAGCCAAAAATGTTAAATAAAATTGAAGTATCAAACAGATATTCGTGGCCCACAGCCGTTGCCCTTGACGTTGGCAGCAATTCAAAAATATCTTTTATTGAATCTCGGTAACCCAATGTCGAGCAACGAGTTACTCGTAAGTCTGGGCCAGAGGCTTGCGGATAAGGGTGGAGCGAAGCATAAAAAAGATTAGCACAGGCCTTAGTAATGGGTCAAAGTGTAAATGGGTGTGTTTGCGGGTGTGTGTGGTTGTGTGTATCTATATGAAGTGTGCTTGGAGTGACAGCAGTCAATGACATTGAGCCGCAGAAAATAGATTCACACACCCACACACTGTATCACCCGATAGCCACACACACCCTTCAATAACTGGACATGACCAAAGAAATGTCTTTGCATCAGCTTGAAAAGCTGTGCAAGTCTCTACATTAAATTGGATTTTTTATTTTAATATATGCATTTTACTTTTCGCAGCATGTGCAATGCATCTTAACTGACACACACGCACGCACACAATTGCGAGCTCGCACCCACACAGCCACCCACTCACAACCCCAACTGCATTTCGGCTGCTGCATTATTTATAGTTTTTTTATATGTCATGGAATACGTGATTTCGCATAAATTGCATGGCCCCCACTCGAGTGTGTGCTCACCTTCGTACAGCCGCCATCGGCCTACATCAATGAGTTTAGCGCACAAAAAGTGCAAATTAAATGGTTCCTAAGGAGAAGGGGGCTAACATTGCAACGCGTATTTTCAATAATTAATGGCACAGACGAATGCCAGTAGATAATAGTCGCTTTAACAAATGTTGCACAATGATGCTGTGAAAATGTATACCGATAAAAAATATTTGAGAACATATACATATTTTGTGTGCAATGTCAAGATTTACACAGATATATAGCAAAATCAATGGTTAAAATAAGGAATACTAAAGCATTAAAGTGGCATTTTAAATTTTAACTAAAACCAGTGTTGAAAAACTCCTTAAAGCTCGTTGAGACTGACTGTTAGCTAATGCTTAATTGGCTTCAGTTAATGTAAAAAACAACAGTCGCATGTGGCTTAAAATAAAAGAAAAGTAAAAAAAGCAAAATATATATATATATATATATATATATATATATATAAGGCTGGCATTTATTTAACCAGTTTTACCCAATTTCTTAGTTTTGTCAAAATTCCATATAAATTAATATAGCTTCAACACATAAAATTCAACGAGTTCTATTTCTATTTTACTTTGCAATATTATTAATTTAATAATTATATTTTATGTATATATTTATATTACATACTTTTAGTTTTAAAGTAACTAACAAAATTTTTCAGGAAATTTCATTACGATAGCCTTTAAAAATATTTGCATTATACATATCAACATGCATTTTTTACATTACATTAACATACCACTTCAGTTTATAACTCTGATTTTTTGGGTCATGCCAGCGCATTTCAGTTGTTTTGTGACCAAATTGAATAATATATGGAAGTTCTAATCGCATTGTACGCATTCCAGTAAGCATTCAGATGCTTGCCGGCCACAAACACAAGCACGTTCTCTTTATAAACACATAAATTCTTAAGTAAATGTACTGTTAAGCTGGATTTTTCACACCGCCCAGCGACAAAATGTGAATGAAAGAGCGGCTGCTAAACGTGTGTGTGGTTCAGAGAGGGTCGACAGGACAGGGCGAGGAAGTTGGGTACATAGTCTACAACTATTGAAAAAACATTAATGCAAGCATTACGTAACTTTAAATGGAGCCAGCACTAAGGCAACCAGGGGAGAAAGGTGCAGTTGGCTGGCGCGCAGCTGGAAAAGTGTGCAAATAAAAGATATTGAATTTGCCGGTAGATGGTCAATGTGTAGCTAATAAACAGTAAAGAGACACGCAGCTCGGCAAGGAGCGCCGCAGGAATATCGATTACAGGACACGCGACACAGACATTCAGACCGCAAATAAAAACAAAAATACTGAAAACGAGAGCTAAGCAGCAGATACAAACTCAGCAGCAGCAGCTAACGCTCGAGCCGGCAAAATTTCCAACAGTTTGAGCCATAAAATTTGAAGCGAAGGACAACTTGGCTTGGGCATGAAAGCCCTATATAGAATATCAGTATTCAGCAGGCAGTCTGTTTGGGGGCTAGCTGAGCGAAGTGCTGACACCTTGGCTGGGCGCCACTTAGCCCCATTGGGGCACAGCTGCAGCAGCAGCAGCAGCCTCACATTCTATGCAAAAGTTCATTTCGGGGGCAGCAAAATTGCCAGCGTATGCGAACCACTTAAAGCACTGCCAATTGTGGCAACATGGGGTAGATACAAGTATTCAAAATACACTCTCTAGCAATCATGTTTCGTGCTCTTGTTGCACAGTGCCTAATTTGTATCTGCTGTCCGACCACAGGACGCTACCCAGCTGCTTGCTACTGTGAGCTGCACAAATGGGAGAAAACTGTGTTCAACTTATTTTTAAGCAAGCCAAAATGTTTTGGTCAAGATGGCAGGACTAAGGAATACCCTGTATGCAAATGTTATTTATCTCAAATTATATCTGATCTCCCTGAAATAGAAATAGCCTGTGTTCAATCCTGTGGTAGCTATTTTTTCTTGCACGTTTAACGAAACACTAACTTTATTTTTAATCACATCCAATTTTGCATTTTTATTGGATTCTTAATAAACTTGCTAGATGTTCAGACAATCACAATAAAACCTTTAAGAATACAATATGTTAATATTAAATATCTGAACTTATTAAATAAAGGCAATATTTTTTGAAATATTTGTTAAAGTTTATTATGGAGCCAGGTTATTGTAACCGGAAACAAGTTTGATAACCTGTATACCCAATTTAATAAATCTTGTAAGTAGAATCTCCGAAATCCTTTAGGTAGACATACAGCCAGACAAGCAAACGAACATTTTATCGGTGGACGCAACTTTGTTTTTAATTAAAAGTATTGAAAATGCATAAAGTCGAGTTAAGAATACTTATTTAAAATAATGGCCTTACCCAAGTATATAATAAAAGTTTAGTTTCGAGTTTCGTAATTGGGAACAATTTTCATCGTTGGCTTAGCTCCAGAACATTTTGTAGCATGCTTTGCAAGGGGACAGAGTTGGGCACAGGCCAAGCAGATGCCGGGCAACTAACTGACTCTACACTTAACTACATAAACATACACAGACACAGACGCCCCCTCGCCTAGAGCTTTGACACGCATACGCTTAGTGCTTAGTCTTAACCCGGAGCTATCAAATCTTGTAGCTGACATTTATGTGTGTCTTACAATAGCTACGGCTAGGGCGATGGTTACGGCTGCCAAGTATTAATGTCCTACCCAAGGACGAGCCACATACATATTCATTCAATGTGTACCACAGTGAATATATGTACACTTGGATTCAGCTGCTTGTGTGTGTGTGTGTGTGTGTGAGTGTGTGTTCGGGCGTGTGTGCCAGTGTGTTGACATTGATTGCGTGTGCGTGTGTCTGACAGTTGTCCCAACGAGTTTAATACTCGTAATAGTGCGATTTTAATTGAATAATATGCAATCGTGATAGCCAAAACTGTCGGTATATGCCACACCCCACACCCACACAACCCATACACACACAGCCACACCCACCCAGACGAGTGCGTGCTGAAGCTAGGCAACTTTAACTATGCTTTACGTATCCGATTTGTGCACATGACAATCTCGTATTTGTTTTTCTTGCCCTCCTCATTTCATATCTTGGCGACAGACTTTAGTAGCCTTATAATTGTCAATGGTCCATTAGGGCGCCGTCCGCTGTCCTTTGCCACAGATGACACAATAAGATGCCGCATGTGGTTGCGTCAATCACATAATTTGACCCACAGCAGCAGCCATCCCACTTGAGATGACCACGTGACAACGCCAGTTAAAAAAACCGATGAACAAGGAAATATTATACGCATATGTATGCGGAGGTATTAGGAACTATAGAATGTTTTAATGTAATGTAGACGTAAGGTGGTAAACATGGACTGTTCACCAAGTATTCTCAACTAACAAGTACCAATGAATTCTCAAATGAAAATGAAAATCAACAAGGGGTAACGAGTACTCTTAAGCTCTTAAAAATTTCACGTGTACTAGTCATAACTAATGAGTAAAAGGAGTACCGAAACGAGTACAAGTGACTAAGAGCTACTTATAAAGAATTAGTGCGAATACCAACGTCAACTAAAGAGGACTAAAGAGCACTCTAGCGTAAAGAGTATCTAAAATTTTCAGAACATTACTTGCTTTAATATGATTTAAGTTATATTTAAATTATAATATCGTTTTTTCTAAGGT